CGTGCAGGAGGACATTTCGGCGGCTGCGATTTTTTCGACCCTGCCTGGTAAAGACGGCGGCTGTGGCATCGTCGGTTATACTCATATAATCTTTCGATAGTAATAATAATAATAGTAATAGAATACCGCGATCACACGGGCGTTATTAAATGATAATTAATAACGATCGGGAATTTCGGGGTGGATTACTTATTTCCCGCGCTCGTTCGTTATAGGTATATACCAGTATTATAATACCTTTACGAACCTATACGTAATGACAATAATATTATTATTATAACGTTGATTTTTATACCGGACGACAGATACTGCAGCGGCCTCGTCCTAATGTCGTAGGTAGGTATACGATTAAACAATATCTTGTGTACCGTTCTGGAGACATGAATGCCTTTAGCATAATCGTCCTGGCCGTATTATTATCATCATCGTCCCCGTGACTTTGTTGGCGGCGGCTGTGATTAACGACGACCGTGTACATAATATTATATATAGGTACCGACCGATAGACCAGCCCAATGGTGTGTGAGTATAAAATGTGTCCGGGTGACAAATAGCCGTCGCCCGCTGCAGTGGAAATAATATAAAACGGTCATTGACAACGGTAAGATTAATGATGACGAAAAGCCGCCGCCGTCCATTATAATATCGTATATTATATTATTATTATAATATTACTTATAAGATGTGTGTGCAGTGTTATATATAGGTAATATTATTGTCGTAAAACACGATGCGTAGGTATTGTAATATGTGGTACACGTAGATAGATATATGTATAGCTGCTGCGATTTGTCGTTTATTATAATATATTACAATACCCCGTGTGCCTACCATAGGTATTATATAGGTATGTCGTCGTATCTACAATAGTGTAATATTATCATGTGATAATAATAAGTAATACCTAACTGTTCATATAGTATTTTCACACGGTTCCTAAAAACGCGTAGTCCAATATATTTTATAGTACCTACAACTATAGCGTATACCTACAACTATACGTTTTTGCCAGCATTTTTTAAATTTTAAATCTGATTATGAATTGAAATTGCTATAGGTAATAGTGTATCTACATGATTATTATCAGGGTAGACAACAGCGGTCTTGTAAGTTGCAACTCTGTAAAAAGAGATATACAAACATACACAGCACGAGTGATTATCATATACTGTCCAAGCGTAAAAGTTTGCAGAAAAAATGAATACTTAACAATTAACCACTATGGACGAATGAGTGTTAAATTGAAATAGGTATATTATATTATATAAATCTGACGAAAATATATAACTTTCAATTTACTATATTCATCAGTGCTTTCACCGTTTGTATCGTATATGTAAAATAGGGAAAATACGTATACTAAGTGGTATCGTCAAGTGAAGTTAATTACTTTTTTTTATTTTGGTTTTATAAAGGTACTGTCTTATTTATTTAAAAATAATTTATACAATTTATTTTACTGTAATTTATTATAAAATGGTTTTACAAATAGTTTTTTATTATTTTTTTAATTGAACTTTTTTTTTTTTTTTTTTTTTTTATTAAAATACATCTACAATCTATACAGTTAATAGTATAATAATTAGATTTGATAAAGGAATATAACATTAACAGTGAAATAATATGATTGGGAAGTTATCCATTGATAACACCCAGCACGTGATAATATATTAATTTAATATTAATATAAATATGAGTTGAAGACCTATAAGGTACAATAGTTAGTTTAACGTTTCTGGCGATTAAAAATATTTTAATTTAAATTAATTATGAGATAATAAAGTTAATGCACTATGTAACAGGCTGTTTATTTAGAACAGCTGTAAGGAGCGTGATGAGGGGAGAGATTAGAGAGGAAAGTTCAGATAAGAATTTTGTTAGTGGGTTATCGATTGTGTGAACATTGGGTAATGGTATATTTTTAGAATTAGTAGCGGATGCGTAAGAAGTTTTGGGAGGGAGAGGGGGAGTTTGGAGATGAAAAGAAGTGAGTACCGGATTCGGATTCTGTTGTTTTGAATGAGTGGTTCTGCGTCGTTTGAGAAGAGATTTGTATATTTGACATCCTTTGTAGTTGGAAGTGTGATTGCCCATGCATAGGGAGCACTTAGCTGGGCTGGTTTTGGGTTTGATGCAGTCGTCGGTGTGGTGGTCGCCCCCACATTTGACACACCGTGAAGGATGGTGACAAAAGTTCGCAGTGTGACCATAGTTCTGGCAGTTACGGCACTGAGGTGGACCACTTCTGGTCCTGTATGGAAATTCGACTTTGATATATGTGTGCAAAATAGTAGACAAGTTTAGGATTTCTTTATTGTTGGTGTTGGGTTTTAACTCCACAAGAAAAAGTGGGCATGGGTGACCATTTTTTTTGACGTTTGTGACACGGCTGGTGTGGTGACCTAACTCCGAGAGTGCATCAGATATATCGGGGATGAGTGTAGTGTGGTGCAAGTTTCTGATAATGACCTTGTAGGGTCGACGTGATGGAGGCATAAAAGTATGAAAAAAGGCACTGGTGTTCTTTAGATGGTCAATGATTAAGTTAAACATGATACGTCCGTGAGGACGAATAATCAAAAAGGAAGACGTGGACTTGCAAGAAAAACCGTTTTGGCCGGTGATTTGAACTAACGCGTTTTTAAATGCGGAGAAGTTGGTGATGTTTTGAACGTATATTGGCGGAGCCCTGTTGTTGACCTGGTTATGATGAAGTGTAGACTCGTTGGTTATATTAGAAATAACATTAGAGGTGTCGTGTTGGATTTCGATGTCCTCTTCGGTAGCTAGGACAGCGAATTTATTTGGCGAAACAAATGACTTAGTTTTTTTCCCCATTTGGATAGGTGAATTTGGAGAAGATGGCAGCGACCGTTTGGATATAAAAATGTTCGGAGAGGTAGTGTTATTCATATTGGAATGAAAACGTGTTCAACGGAGTGAAACCCGAGAACTGTTAACTGTTTACATACTGAAACGCGATAACGGAGCGAATATAACCGTACAACGTGCGGTCGCGTTGCAGGTCAACAGCGAACTGATTGAACTTAAGCTCGGTGACTGACCATTATTTAGCGGTTGTAGGGGTTATGAACTGTGTTTGGTAAGGTTGGTACTGTAAGCTACACGCGTACGTGTGGCAAGGTTTTTACTACTACGAACCCGGGTGGTCACCCATCCGGGAACTAGTAGCAGCGTACTTATACTTTCAGTCACTGGGAGCAGCCAACGGGCCGTGAAATACCAATGAAGATGCGTTTATATAATATTAAATACCATATGTTTTCAAGTATATATCAAAATAAAATTATTCCATTGATTTGTGTACTGCAGATTCAACATTGAACGGTCTTTGTCAATCAGATTATATAATAATATTTTTTTAATTACAACTAAATAAACTTCAGACACTCATAAAAAAATATTGTGGATTTATTAGCTATACTTTTTTTTTAATTTCCATTAATAACAACAAACTTAATATTATGAACGGTTTTAAATTTGGTCAATTATACATACTTCGTTTACGTTAAGAAGCAACCTTGGCGGCCACCAGTTTTCGTCGGGCGGAGGTCAGGCAACACGTTTGTCATCTCCAACAAGTCAACCATATAAATAACAACTATAAGGCTATATTTATTTATTTATTAAAATAAGCAATGAAGCAAAGAAATAAACTATTTCCGTGGAATGCAGCCAAAGTATGAAATTTAAATGAAATGAATCAGGTAATATCAAAGTCATCAGTCATCACTAATATTGTATTCCTAGTCAATTACTTTGAGATTTATCAAAAGTATTTTGATTTTTATAAAAAGTTGTTCCACAATTATTTTACTTCCACTTTGAAACGGACAACACCTATATTATAGGATAGACTATCACAAAATATCTTCTCGTTGGTTAATTGTTGTCATTGGTAACAACTAACACAAGTTAAAAGTTTTATGTTAAATCTTTATCAAAAGTAAGCAGTTTGTATTTAATATAAGCAGTTGTTTAATCGTTGCCATATTTTATTTAGTAACCCAAACTGACTGGTCACTCTTAAATTTGGATAGTGATAAATGTCTAGTACTCCCATTTCCTGCATACAATATTATAGCCTGGCTCACGAATCACCCGATAAAAGTATCGTTGTATACGTCACATTATCAATACTTATTTTAAAGTGACTTAAGCGTCTTCAGTACCTACTCTAGCTTAGTCTTAACATACTATATAGTAATCCACTATTGCAATAATTCTGAGCAACTTACTGTTATACTAAAACTATACTACTAAAAATTAATATAGTATATTATGTATGTATAGGTACCAATACAATTTGTATGTATTTATTATACGCTCGAGTCTTCCTTGTTACGCAGGTCCGTCTCCTGCAGATTTAATAATAACAATGATAATATAACGATCAGGCGGATAATAATGATATATTGTTATAGTTTATACGCCTACAACTGTTATATAATTATCATGTGCTCCGCAAGATTTATCGATAAATAGCCATCACACCGTGGTAAGCACACCTTATGTACCTATACATTATATATTATATAAAATTATTACCTACATAGAAGCTTTGAGTTGGCCTCGTCCTTGCGCTCGTCTAATTAACCAGTCTTGAATTGAAATTTATTTCGCGTGTTTCCATAGAAAACCACCGGATAACGGGGGTACGCACACACACGCAGGTACTTCCGACAATTTCCTCGAATTTATGGTCCGGCACAAATGCAAAAACCACCCCTGCTTCGTGTACGAGTGCAGGAAAAAAACGTACGTACGTACACATTAGACATAACATACATCGTATAAATAGAGGAGTGTTTGGCCTGATTCATGTATAGGTTTAAAAGGAGACAAATTGATGTTGACTCTGCTACCACCGGTCTCCGATATACTCTTTCGTGAGATTGATAAATGGTCCGGCCCGAATCGCTCGAGGCTGCTGCTGCTGCTGTGGTGGTCGGGCGAAGTGCAGGGGTGCGGTGGTTGCGATGCACGACAGCCGGGGTGGTCGTTTTTGGCGGCGATCAGAGGGTGCAGGGTGGAGGGGTGCAAAGAAGAACCAAAATAATAGGGATTTCGGACTGAGATTAATGATTGACCTCGCGGTCGACGCGGACAATATAAAAGCCGCTGCGGGAAGCTGTCTCGGGAATCGTCGCTTGTGCGTGTATCCCGTTCGATTTTCCTTGGCCCGTTCGATCCGACCATGTATGGGAAAAAACACGACATTTGGTATTCAACACGTCCGCGTGGGGTAGCATAATATTTGTAACGAAAAATCATCGTCCGATGGTTTCGTCGGTAAATCTCCGTTATCTCGCTCAGATATGATATTATCTTTATATAGGTATTCGGAAAATCAAAAATGTGTTTCGCGCCGTAATATAATATATGTATACTGATATTATAAAAAGGAAAGATTTGTATGTTTGTAACGAATAAACTCAAAAATTACTGAATTGATTTCAAATATTATTTTGCGCCATTAGAATGCTACATTACCCCTGGGCTATATTTATTACTAGAACAAATTACGAATCCTTACTAAAACTTCAATAATGTCCTTTTTTTGTACGTATCAATCAGCCCCTTTCTTGTACTATGGATATTTATATTGTTTTTTTTTTTGTCGATAAAAAAAAGTACGTGACGAATGGGAATAATAATGTGTATTTGAATAATATGCACAATGTACCTATATGTAAATAAATACGGTCGCGAAATCGGTCCAAAATAATTAATCGAACAATGTTATACAATTGAACGTTATTGTATTGTACGTTTTTTCGCATAATATATTATTATATCAATTACTATTCAATCGTTATTATTTTTTAGTTTAATCGCTGAACTTTGATATCGATTTCATTTTAGATACATATTAATATCATTGTCGTCTTCAGCACTCGACAGTTTTTGTCGACGAATGAATGACGTCGGTATAATACAAAAAACGGCAGGTACAAACGAATACGACGTCGCAATCACTGCTGGCAGCATCCGTATGGACCGTAAATCTCTCCGTTGAATCAGTGCACGAAAGTATAATAATATGTTTAATGTAAGTTTAGTGCCTATACCTATTGTGCGGGAGTGAGAAGGTGTTCGCCATGGATGTAATCCCGCGGCGGCGCCGGGGTGCGTGGGCGAGGGGTGGCCGAAAAAAAAAGACCGTCTGCCCCACGAAGGGTACATAATATTATACATATTTTTGTATATATGATATTGTGATGATGCGTAGCCACTGCTGCGGACCGGATAAACCCTTCGGCGCGTGAAAACCCCTCAACACGTCGTAACAATGCATATTATATAGGTACAGATAATATTATAATGTACGGCAAGTGTGCGGGGGCGGCCGAGTGTGCGAGGTTTAAACGCTCGTGTTCGCTCGCCTTAACACCTCTCGTCCATTGTGGTATTACAATATAATATTATAATATTCTCATTGAAAACGATTCGTTCGTATTATTATATTAAACGGCCGCCGCTACCGCGCGGTGCGTGATGCCTCGTGCGGTGTTATATTATTATATTATTATAATCGGATGAAATCGATTGCGAAAAATACAATACAATATAAAAGCATATTATATTGTTGTTGCACACAACCTAGTATCATATTATTATCGCGGTGTATATACCTCTATACATGTATGTTATTATCAAACTCATATTAAAAAATTAAATACAACATTAAATTGTCTTGTAAAATATATCTTCAATAAGCCAAGACTCTTTCCAACAACTTTATTATATAATGAATGTAAAATCTTAAATATAAAGTCTCTCCATATAATACATGTTTTTGCGGTTGTTTTTAAATATATTAACACAATTAATACTCCTACACATAAATATAACACACGATTTGTTAAAGATATTAATTTATCACTGCCTAAATTAAGAACTACTTTTTGTCAGTCAGGACCATATTTTGTGTTTATTAATTTTTGTATTAAATATAATATTTGCATTCATGAATTTAATAATTTTATACAATTAAAAAGAAAACTTATGTCTTTAGGATTAAATACCTTAGTTTAATTTGAATTGCTTACAGCTTATATTACTTTATTTTGAATAATTATATTGTAATTTCACTATTACTTTTTTATTCTGTTTATTATCTATTTTTTCATTTATTTATTTATTTTTTTTTTTCTTATCTTATGTTATGTTCTTGATATGTTTATTTAATATTGTAATTGCATGAACTCTCACCTCCAGCACAGCCTTTGGCTTAGGAGGTGATCCAACAAAAATTTGTCTTTTAGTAATTTAACTTGTATATATAGTTTAATATAAGAGAATTAATAAATATTATTATTATGTTATGATGCTATGACACGACCGGCGAAACTCGAATTATAATATTATTATGTATAATATTAAGAATACCAGCTTGTGTAGTTTGATGTCTCTGAAGTCTTACACAAACGTTTGACATAATATATATAGCGAATTCGTGTTAGGTGTTCTGATTTTGTCTGATAACCCATGATAATAGAGTGAATTGACCTATTTTCCCAACTTTGAAATATCAAGGAATTCTCATGAATCTCTTAAAAATGAAAATAATCTTGAAAGTTATATTGATGATGTTCTTACCTTTAAGTTTTATTATGGGTATATTCGCTCTGTATTATATTAAAGATCACTAGGTATACAAAATCTGAACTGCTGAACACAAATTTGCTGTGTCGTAAAATATGTTTGTAAGATATGTTATAATGTATATATGTTTATAATATGTTTTCGTCCTCTAAACAATATGTATTACAATGGCACGGGCTAGAGAAGGGGACGTGGAAATAAAAAAAAAAGGAAATGCAACGTACGCGAACTACGTGGTGCGGAAGAGTTGAGGTACAATCGTAACGTGTTGTATATTATTTGTACGCGGGTTTGTTCCGGTCGGATGCAGGATTTACCGCCACGCGGTCCGGAAGTGGCCGAGGAAGGGTTATTATTGGGTCGCGGGGGTGGTGCGAGTGACCGAGCTGCAGAATCTCGGTGAGGGGGTGGTCGGGCGGCGAACAATGCCTGCACCGCCGCCGCCGTGACAAACGCCACCTGACGGAATTAATTCCGGAACGTCCGTCGCACGACAATCGCCCTCTCGCGTGCCACCCCCGCCTCAACCGCACTGCATTAACAGGGTTTTCGGGGGGGGGGGGTGAATAGTCTTTTATCACGACTTCCTGTACGCTCGAGGTAGGTATAGATATACATTATGATATTACATACTTAAATTATATTGTTATATCTCCGTGCGATTAATATCACGGTGGGCGTCAGCCGGACGCAATCCGATTTGAGGTATTAGGCCCGCTCCCTAATAAATAGGTGTTTGGAGATTTAGACGCGTGACCGGGACCTCGGCCCGTTGCGCTTTTCGACGCTATAGCATTATAACGTTATTTTTTTTTATTATTTTTCCTTTAAATATAGATTATATCATACAGTTAAAGAAATATATTATCTACTCCAGGGCTTGTGCCGGAGTAGAGAGTTGACAATTGTGTAGGTATATATGAATTCTTAGTTTAAAAATAAAATAAATAGGTTTTGAAGATACACCTCTTTGTTTAAAAGTAAGAAAAGACACATCTTTCTAAAATGTAAATATCAAAAAAAAAGTAAACATAATAAAAACATAAATAAGAATGCCAAATGAACGAAATATGTCAAGATATAATATTTTGAAAAAAATATTTATAATATTTGTTAATATAGGTAGTATTAAATATTGAATAACACTTTTAAATTTGAATTTGAAAAAAAAAAAATAAAACTCACCGAAGTACGGACTCTAAATTAAGGAGTAATCAAATCAGAAAATAGCCACGTTACTATATTATTATAAAGAACAGAAGACCAATGCCAAACAGAGGCGACTAATATTTCGTGATTTTGTGCGTCGATTTGTCTCCCGCGTGGAAGTAATACCAGTGCGAGCGTACACCTGTAGACGCATATATATAAATTCCGTCCATTCTTCATGGTTTTCCGAAAGAAAAGCTTCGACGGTGACAATAATAATAATATATAATCCTACGCGGAAGTGTCAGTCTGGCGATTGCCTGAATGGGGCCTTGGATATCTTTCAATATTGGGAACCAAACGGGAGCATATATTTAAATCACTTATGAGTCGTAATGCGAACATTTGGAATTCTATTTGAAACTTCAATGAAAAAGTTTATTAAAAGATTTATTGGATACATTGTGCATATTATTATAGCATTTAAATACGTATTCTTATAGTTCCGTGCACAAACTTAGATTAGTGAATGAGTATTTTAATTTTTAAATAGATACTTAAAACTTTAAAAACCAATCTTAGATCTACAAACATCTCCTTATTAGATCGCTAACAATATATTTTAAATTGTCTGTTTGTTGCAGAGATATTATTAAATTTATAAACAAAGATGAAACTAATAATAATATGTTATCCTCCTGCTACTGTTTTAATAATATCATTTATAACTTATTTAATAAATTTTAATTTTGTTTATTAATTCTTTTATACTTACAATGAGCCTTTATTTTTTAGGATATTCTATAATATGGCCTTTTTATAACTGTGAGTAATTTATTATTTTATAATTGTGTACTATTTTAACAGCATAACTTTATTATAGTAATACATATTAACTAATTCATATAATACTATACATAGTACCTACCTGTATGTAATATCTGATATTATTTAATATTATCATCTACAATAGAGCATTATTTGCTTTTGATAGAATTGATTGGTTTTTTTTATATACAATCATAGTGAAGCACACTGCAAATACCTAGTAATATATAATTACATTTATAATTTTAATTTCAAAATAAGTATACATTCAAATTGTAAAAATAGTAAGTATAAAATATAGAGAATAAATCTGTACAGCGCGGTGTAACACGTGCTTAATTTTCTGTCTTAAATCAGTCTTACTTATTTAATTATATAGCTGGTACCATGTGTAAGATGAGGAAATAATTATTTACTGTCAACAATTTAATGTTAACTTGTAATAGGGTAAAAAATAGCACAGAGTCTTCAAAATCCTACCGCAAGATACGTCTCAGCGATTAATTATTACTTGGACCTGAATATAATTTGTAAGGTGGACTGACACGTCGATCTGTTCCAAATCCGAACTTATAACCCGAAGATTGTATGTTATACAACGATGCATTGGTTTAGGTATAGACTATAGACTATAGGTTATAGGTATTATTATTGATAAAATTAT